TGGCTCCCCATAATGATCGTCCGGATGGGTGTCATGGTGCTCCCTGCAACACTTGTACGCAGCCGCGAAGGAATCGAACCGGTGGCCGCCCACTACGTACAACTCCTCTGGAGAGCGATGTGGATGAGCCATCATCAATTTAACACGGCAGAAGTCGTTAAACTGGGTAGAGGTCTCTGTGGACCTGTATCGAGGGAAGTAAGACAGGACCCTCTTCTTCGCCTGAGCAGCAAGTCTCCTCCACGTCTTGAGGTTGTACGATTGCAGGTACTCGAGGTAGGTTACACCCCCATATTGCTCATTTCTCTCGAGATACTTCCTGTAGTTGCCGATGGTCTCATTGATATCCTCGCCGACGCGATACGTCCGCGCATGTTGCTCCAATGGACGGCAGTCCACGGAGACCACCATCCGCGTGCCTTCCTGCAGAGAAAGATTAAGCAAGAGATGGGAAATCTCCTGCGCCGAGTAATCCCTCTCGGCAATCAGCTTATTCATCAGACGAGAGGAGAAGGACAACAGGGGCTGAAGGTGCGCGGTGTGCGGCAAAACCTGGTCCGCAAGCTTACAGTAAGGCTCTGTCTTCTTTTCGGATTTGCTGCAATACTTCGCAGCATACGTGATTACCGCCTGTAAGCTGGTGCAAGGAGATATGTCGATATTGGCTAGCCAGCCTAGGATAATGGCGGGATTGAAGTGGTTCATGAGGTTGTCATTCCGTGCCGCCTCGAAAACGTAGTATGACTTGCCTTCCTTCCTGATAACTGCTGCCAGCTCCCGCAGAGCACGGGGAAAATTAAAACGGCACTCCTTCTCTCGATTGGCCGCATTGGCCGCCTCAATATCGACAGCAGCCCCTTCCATATCTCTCGCTAGGTCGCCGGTTCTCTTCCTCGCCCGCAAGCAGTACGTGGTGTTGCACTTGTGGCGCTGGCAGCGGTTCACAATTTGTGAGAGCCGCAGGAACGTCATCTCCACGCTCAGCGGATCCACGCTCAGGGGATTACCCTCGCCCTGAGGCACAGTCCTACTCGGCTCAGGGTTAATAGCAGTGATGTGGAATCCCCACGTGCGTGCAAATACATCGCGAGCGGCTTCGTCCTCCATGAGCTTCATCCTCCATGTCGACTCTGGGGCAATTCTCCATCCAGTACAGGCCATGGTTGTGCGGACTACCTCGCCCTTGCCATTCATACCGATCCCAGTAATCTGTGATTTTGAACTTCTTGCTTAACACGATCTCCCGAAAGAAGCAGTATCGGTGGTAGAAGTGGAAAGCACCAATGTGAGGGTTCTGTCGCAGTAAATCAGTGTGTCCAATAGTGTGAAACCATATATTACCAAGGACTTTGTCTGACATCATAGGGTACTAAAAAGGAAATTTTAGTGTAAATAAACATCACGTTACTAGGGTTATTATCTTATCGGAGAGACAATTATCGTGAACGTACCTGAAAACGGTACGTGCGCGATATGATAATATATTGAGAATATACTATTGGACACACTGCAGTAAATGGCGTGATAGAGCCATCCTCTCTGGCTCGGAAGCGGCTAGCCATTCTTCATATCGGGGCATATGTTGGTAGAGACTCCGCCAGTCTAAATCTGCCGGGCTGAATGTGATGAATCCAGGTGGCCAAACATGATGCACAAAACGATACAAAAAAAAAAAGCAGCGGCTATTTAGCCATGGTGCTCCAATGTAAGTCGACGTCGATCCGGGCTGAATGCTGATAGATACCACCGCCAACAGGCGTAACAGCCACGAGGGGAGAAAGTACTTCCTCAGTGCTGGAAATGCGGGTGATCGCTCTGCTCGAAGTCCAGTCTGGCCAACCACGTCGAGAAGTATGATGATATGAGGGGGGTGCGGTAGATTGCTACGGTATAGCACTTGGAACGCATGTAAAGAGATCACGAGAACAGACTAAAGCCTCATGGCAATGCGAATCATGTCTATGCACAGGCACAAGTCGCACTTTGCTCTCTACTAGTTTCGTGTGGTTCCTTCTTGGTTAAAATGGAAAAGCATCTAGTCCCAAGAATGTACTTGTGAGTGAGTTTCATCGCTATGGACGCGACGCTAACTCAGTCACAACGCACCACACTACAATGTGAGTTGCACGAATCCGCTTGAAACTGACCAGTAAACATAGAATTGTTGGGTGCGTGGGCACGTTCTCAGTAGCCCAGCTCAAGACGCCTAGCTATTGGTGGACTGTGGTGGCTGTTTGCGAAAGGGACGTTCTCTACTTTGTCCTGAATGCCTGATATTGTTGCCAAGGCAGTTTACTTTTGGGTGAAAAGCTGCTAAGAGAGCTCCTCGGAAAAGTGGTCTTACCAACCACACCATCCCACCATGAAGCCTGACTGCACCTCTAATTCGACCTGCTTTTGTGATACTCTCTTACTAGGCTCAAATTACCACGGTATCTCACCAGGTCTGCTACAATGTGACGGAATGAGAAAATTCTCTTCTTTGCAATCTAGTTAGCGGTAGCCTAGCTTACAAAAACATATATGGTACAATACCTTAATTGCTTTGACTCGTCGCGATTGCTTGATGTGGATGTGAGCATTCTCCAGTGTTGTGAAAATCACAGAACGCATGATCTGGGCTACTGGCTTCATGATTACATGGACCATTTTATACTTTCCAAGACGAGGACCCTAAAATAGATCATACGACGCTAGCATAAGCCCAATTCCGTGATTACATCCTAAAATTACGAGACTGTTACTATGGAATAGAGCGGGAAATGATTCTGTGAGCACTGCAATGGCAGCACGCCCATGCTTTTAGGAGTGTTACTATTTTCTTTGTGAAGTGCGGGAGCCGACTTCATCGGCCTCTGCGTCTAGAACTTTTCTTAGGTTTAAAGAATGTCGAAGTTGGTTTGTTTGGAGCTTAACAGATATCTAAGGCACAGCTAAATTGATCGTCCTGAGATGCCGCGCTGTCAGACGTATAGTTACCTAAACGGTTGTCAAACGATATTACTCCCCAGTCGAGGAAGCGTCCTAGCCCACTTGGGCACTACTATTGTGTATGTAACTGGGACCTTCGTCCTCTTGACTTGGGTAGTGATTAAGGCTAATTGACTCTCCATAATCTGTATCATTTTGACAAGGGGTACGGTACAGGTGTCGCCATGACACATCTCTGAGGCATGGACGATCCTTGTATTTGCAGTAGTTCCTGGCAAGCCGATTGTTTCCTTTTCAAAGCCTATCAGTGAACTGATTTCGGGAACGATGCGAGGGGTCACTTCAACTGGGTCTTGTTTGTGACGTGAGGGAGATGTTCTCGTGACGGTGTGAATTGAGTTAATCGTCTACGTTAGCGCGGCGTGCGGAAAGTGTCATCCCATGGTAACCGCTTCTCAATCTCACCTGGCCTTTAGGATGGGCCCCTCACTAGGGATAGCGGTATTGAAGAATCCTTTGTCGCATGGGAACTTAGGAGAGACGAATTTTATGAGTCATTTTATGACATTTCTTCAAACATGTTGAATAGCTGCAGCGAAATTTGTAACGCCCGAATCCTCTCAAGAGCTCCTACCGCACGAAGCTTCCAAAAAAAGGTCATCCAGTAATTACTTAAGTCTTTTCCATGTCTTATCCACGAACCCGTAAAGCTTTATTGCCGGGAAATCATGAGAACAACGTTTGCAGCACTCTTGTGGTGCGCTCTAGCTTCCTCTACGGTTAGATATCATCAACCAACCCATGCACCTAATGCTCCTAACAATCTACTAGACAATAGCAATCCGAAAACATGAGAGTCCTGCAGAGAAACCGCTAAGTGCCACCGAGGAAAATGTTCTACACCGCCGTAGAGACCGAATAATTGAATGGGAAAGGATTGACTGCGGTCCAGGCCCGAACCAATGGGATCCAGCCGATATTGAACAAATCGCAATGGGGATCCAACATCTCAGCGGATTGACAGGTAAGCCAGGTAATGGACCAGGGCCTGGAAATTGCGGTCGAGTCAGTTGTTCTTGGGGCGCTTCGATTTGGTGGTGCAACGACGTAAGCCTTTCAAATCTTCCTATCTCTCTCTCCGTGTTACTGTGGACCGTCCTGATTGCACTTTCTTACTAGAATGCTACACCGTATCAACTGGACGGATGGGAGGATATCGTGGAAGGTGCCAAGAAGATTTTCGAGAAATGTACCGAAGCCAGTTCAGAGGTACTTGGCCAGGCCTTCGCAAAGGATAGCTGGAATGTTATTATTCGACAAGATACTTGTTGAGCAGGCTATGTGTGTTGTTAGAAACACGGCCGCACTATTGTGGGGACTTTGTGTTGAAGGAATAAAGGATGTATTCTTGTCTGTTGTCTCCCAGAGTCCAACTTGAAGAGTTGGAATCCTTTAGGCGTCTTCGTTCCCCAACTACTTGCATTCGTTCAAGACGTTCAACAGACATTACTTGAGACGGCTATTCCCAAATAGGCAGTTCTACAACTTCTATGGTAAACACAAGACCGAAGCAGATTCGATGCTTCTCGCACTCAATAGCTGCAAGTTGATTGCGGCATTGAGCAGTACTTTGGCTGTGTCATAGTGCCGCCAAAGGAGAACAAGGAAAAGGTGAAAGAAAGCAATCATGTAATGGACACGACTAAAAATGGGCGAAGTTACGCCGTCGCGTCTGGCTCTACGGACGAAGGGTACACTTCACTTCAGTTCACTTTTATTACGCCCAGTAGAGAAACTCCAAAAGAGCAACTATAAACCTATGGGACGTGTACATTCTGAAGCCTAGCTTTTGTCTCATTGACGCCCATGAGTCCTTGTCATCCAGTCTCTGCTCTTACAATCTGTTGCTTGCTTCGCTACGAAGGGTACATAGAGAACAAGTAGAAGAAATACATTTACAAAGCAGAATCGTCAGTTTTGAATCAATACTTCAATAGTTCATCAATTATCCCTCTCGTGAACTGATAAGTTATTAATGCAGCTGGCGTTTTTACTCACGTAATTCCATCAGTGAGCCTTCTCCATGTGCTGCTTGCAATTGGACTCCCGCTTGTACTTGTAGGAACAGGGCTTAAAAAACCCTCAAACATTGATGGATTTGTCAAGTGCTTGTCGTTGCAATGCCGTGCCATTTCCGCCCTTGTGATCAGCCCCGAATTCATGATACTTGCCAGTGGACGCAGGGTATTTCGACGGACGATACTGAGTTTTCCGATGCTTCGTCAAGTCGCAAGGCCTTTTAAATAATTTGTCGCAACCCGGCTCGCGACAATTCCTTCCAGCCAAATTCCTCATTGTTACGCTGAACCGCCGCCCGATCCACCGGATCCACAACTTTCAAAGGTATGCCCGCGTCCATCAGTAGCTAAATTTGAAGATATCATTGAAAGTGCTCTTTCCTTCTGTATCTTTTGATTACGTGGTTCTTCGAGTTTTTCGATTTGCCGTGTAAGATGGTTCTCGCTACAGTGCAGAAATCCTCCTTTACTCAGCTTGAGCATTTGCTGTTGCCGGTTCTCGGTCCTCGCTTTGATCCCCGGACGAATAACCTCCCCACCATTTTACGATTCAACCATCTCAGCAGTCGGTGTCTCCGGATATGTCGTATATTCGGCCTCCATGGTAGTGGCCGGTGTTTATTGGTTTCTCTTGGAAACCTGCTTGACACATTTCTTGTGATGCTGCATGCAAGCCGGGTTGGTAGACCGTTTAGCGTCAGCGGAGACGAGTCCTAAAACCTCCTCTTACAAACAGCTGTCCAGCACATAGACTATCTACATCCGTAGGTAGGTGTTAAATAGTTTACTATCTATCTTCTGGTGGAGGTCGATCCACCGCCGGTGTTGCTGCCTTGTTCGCATGCGGGTTGAACTCATCATCCACGCCCGCGTAGGGGAGTTGGCGTGTGAAGAGTGCGATGAGTCAGAGGCGCCACGGGGCGGGGAGCCATAAGCCTAACGGCGACTGTGGAGGGTGCAGCTGTGGTCCGACTTCGACCAGCCCTCAACACCTGGCGTTTTGGTGTGCCCGCAACTAACCACGGCACTGCTGTATTAACTGTTGAACATGAAACAGCATCATGTGCAGGGTCCAGCCTGCGCCTTCCATAAATAGCGTGCCTTGGCGGCATCTCTAGCTTACAGAATCAACGCACTCCTTTCATCTGTGTTCCGCTGTGACGTTCAACATTAACTGGGCCATGTTTACTCCTTGTATTCTGGCGACGTACGCGTTGCAGGCGGGCGTCCCATTCACATCCAACAATTCTATTTTTAGCGACCCGTACGGTACCTCGTCACTCCCGTCAACACAGGCTACACCTTGCCCAACCAAGCTCGAAGCACACTCTCATAGTCTTGGGAACTGCCGTTAAGCAAACATCGTGCTGGAAGGAAATAGGTCCGCAAAATGCCGGCTAGTCCACGAGAGCATTGTGTCAGCTCCGAGCATACCTCCGGGCACACAGTGGCTATTATAGCCATAATTTCATCTATGTAGGACTCTAGTTACATGATGTAAGGATGGTCTTGACCAATACATAGATACTGGGGGGGAGGGCTCCAGCTCCCGCATCGGTCTGTTGCCGAAAGTCGACAACCAATAGTAATAATAGCCTCTGCGAGTCTAGCCGCCTGCTGGGACTGTGCCGTGTCTGCTAGGTACTTAATTTTTGATGCGACTAATAATTTGCTAAGCCTTGCCCCTGACCCTGGTCATAGTCCATACTTTAATTGGCATGTAAGCCGACTTTGGCGTCATCCTGGAATAGGCATGGGTTGGCGGGCCTTTCCACCAGCCCTGATAACACTGGAGTTTGAAAAAAAAGGAGACAGGGGAGGAGACTCTAAGGAAATATCCACTGATATTCCCAGATGAAAGTCGACTGCAACAGAGTGGCGCTTTTGTTCCTCCCGCACGACATGGCCCGTGTTGGCTCATGTGGTAAACTATGTTTAAGTTATGCGAAAGGCACCCAAGGGTTAGGGTTAGGGTTAATGCTGTACGATGGCATTGAAATATGGTGGAGACGGTATGTACATGTACGGAAGAAAATGTCCACTAAAATTAGGTGGCGGAAGTCCCCTGGCCGATTATATTACCGGAAGATCAGAGCCTAGTTACCTATTGTTACAAGTTACCAACAACCATCACTGGTCAAAAACTATCTCGCCCAGGCCGTCCAATGGCCGTCTTAGCTTCCCTCTCCTGCTCTTTAATATTCCAAGACTGAGGCAGGCACCCCAACCTGCCTGTGCGCAATGAAGTCAGAGAGCAATACCATGCTCGGGCTCCTGCGGCGGCGAGTTCTGTGGCCGCTCGGTGCCCTGGTTCTCATTTTGATCGTTTTCACGATACAACGTAGCTATTCCAGCCCCGAATCCAGCGTCGCACATTTCCGAGCCTTGGATAAAAGCGACAGCCTTGGACATGTTTTCAACTCGACGCTCGGGGTAAGTAATGCTTTGCATTGAACCGGTTATTTCCCACCTGTTCTGGACGGTGATGCCGCCATGGAAGTAAATTGACTGTCTCAATAATGCGTCTTGGCTAACGAGCAGCCGCCTCTTTTATTGCGAATCTATAGTTCGAGGATATCCTTGTTGTCGGCATGCCGTCCCGGACAGATCGTCGCGACGGTATGATACTCGGTGCGGCCCTTTCCGAGCTTAAAATTAACTTTGTTGATGGCGTGAGAGGCGACGACGTAAACGAAAAAGCAATTCCGGTGCCCAAGGATCGAAATAACCATCTCAAGGGTCCCGTCTTGGGCTCCTGGCGTGGTCATATGAACGCCATCCACGAGTAGGCGCTTCCTTTTTCTTGACCGCTTTTCTCTTATCGAAGGGCCTGTGTCTAACGTTTGGGACCTCCGCACAGAGTCGTTCGAAGAAACTTATCGTCCGCGCTGATTATGGAAGACGATGTAGACTGGGATGTTAGGATTCGCGAACAGCTTCATGACTTTGCTGTTTCCATCCGAGCTCTCACCCAGCCATTGAGACGCCAACCAGGCAAATACGCCGATCCCACGTATCCCAACCCAGGCGACGGTTCACCAAGGAAGTTGCCAGATATGAACTTCTTCAGCCTTCCTGATACCGTCCGGCCTTTGATTTCCCCGTATGGAGATAATTGGGACGTTCTATGGCTTGGACACTGCGGCATGCATTTTGTGTTTGAACATAGCAATCTCATACCCAAGGGCCGCGTGGTCAAGGAAAATGACGCCTCCGTACCGCCCAAGAAAAACCTTTGGTCGATCAACAAACCTTTCTCACTAGTGGATGAGTACCCGGAACATACACGAGTCGTCCACCATGCTCAAGAGGGTGTATGCAGCCTTGCCTATGCTGTTAGCCAACAGGGTGCCCGAAACATGCTCCGTGAAATAGCTCTCAAGCCGGCGACGGATGCATTTGACATTCTCCTCCGACGGCCGTACCAAACAAGCGTGCCTGAGTATCAACCCAAGTCTGTTTTCCCACCATCGGCCGGTTGGTCCCATCGATGCCTCCAGCGACATTGGCGATCACGGCGAGGGATACAGACATGAAGCATTGACAGACATGGTTCGGTTTAGCGTACGGCTGAATGCCGAAGTCATTCTCAACGGTAGCACCAATTACATTGATCAGTTCCCTGACTCTGCAGAATGAGGATTGTTCTGTCTTTTTGTTCTCTTTTTGTTCATTTTCATGCGCCTGTCCTTTTTGTTTATTTTGATACGCCTTGCTCGATTTGATTTGGCTGTTCTTGGTTTGATGACCATGTATGCTATTCATGGCAGAATTGACATGGTGTATTAAAAATTCTCTTGGATGCTGGGTTACTTTTCATGAGATGGATTTGTACAGGTTCAAATTCGCTATAGGATTTATATTCCGACAAGTGTATTATGCCATGAACGACATGTTCAAGGCTGCCCAGGTGCGTATGAAATAGATTAAATAAAGATTGAAGCGTTTCTGGTTAATGCGGGCTGGAAAGTAGGCTCCCTCTCCACAGTGATAAATAAAACGCCATCTAATAGCATGGCATCTGTTTCGATGCGGTCACACTTATGTCCTCGTTAGTTCTTAGCCTTTCTATCTTTGACACTATCGAGCACAGTCGAGCCTTGACATGATGCTAGGCTTATTCTTTGACAGTCCCTTTGGTCAGTGTGCAGATTCCGCAAACGTAGTTGAGATCTTCAAATTCACAGCGCCTTAATGTAAGACAGTGCAGTACTTGAACCTCGAAAGCTAGGTAAGATGCCAGTCGTAAGATCGAAAACGTGTCTCGACACGGCTGGCTGTGGACTTATCACGACTGTGGTCGTAACTTGATGGATAGTATTGAACGTGGGCACTACACGCGATTCGTTGCATCGCGTAGCGGCCTCCTCATCACTGCTGCCTAGTCTTCGGTGAGCAGCTTGTTCTGACTGTCCCGAATGACCTATACAACAAACAAAATAGTTGTCGAAAAAAATGGGAAGTCATAAATCGGGAGTCTGTCAGGTGTCGCGTAGCATATAGGTTACTCTGTGAGCTGTTGAAAAAAGCTCAGTAGGCCTCACTTTTGTTCATTTTAACTCAACAACAGGCTTCAACTTTGCTGCAATGCACCCAGGACGGAACGTTTCCCCGAATTCCGTTTTCAACAGTCGGTTTCATGGTATTGCCATGATGAATTCGGTTCATTACTGTGGTTTTCGTGCTGTGTCTGGGACATCCCCGAGGTACAAATATTACGGGCCAACTAATCTGGCTCTGCTTCATGTTAAAAACAGCTTCCAGAATGATAGATAGCAATGCAGCCTGAAACCAACCAGACCATTCGTCACCAGGCGTGATGAGACTTATTATTAAGCTTCGTAGTAAAATTATTGTTGTTGTTGTATTTCCCCTTCCTAAACTCTAGAAACTGAAGACATTTAATACTCTCGGAATACTATTGCCACTTGCCACTCTGGTGGCAAAAAGCTCTTGCGTGTTTAATCAACAGATGCAGTTTTATCCGACAGGTAGTGAAGACCCTACACAAGGTAAGGTCGATATCCAGCAGACGATCAATTCAATGCCTGAAGATGAGATGTGTATATCTTTCCTTTGCGGCGGTTCCGTGGACGTCACTACAGGCCAGGAATCTGTCCGCTGCATGGAGCGAGTTTACCGCCTCAGATGGGGATGCGACCTTTGGAAGAAGCTGGCTATCTTATGAGCAACCGTTCCAGTAGCGTAATCGACCTTGAAGGATTTGGGCGATGACGAGCGTCACTTAGGTGGACAAGAAGGATGTGGATTGGTAGACATTTATGAGAATATTGACTCTTAATATTCACATACTTGCGTGAAATATTTTTCGGCTCTTTCTAGCACCGAAGTTAAATTCACTCTTCTACGTCATCTCCAACCAGAAGAAGAGTGGGGGATGGGAGCTGCAGACCCAACACAACAGCCTTTCTTCTGATTCTCATGTGCGAACCGAAGTGTCGAATCTTGCTCTACGTTTCGTCCCCTTACGCACGCCAAATGACGAGTCGGGTCTTTTTCCCATTTAACCAGGTAACGTGAGCAATCAGCTTGTCCTCCTCATGTTCGATACCTTCTACTGAGTGAACTTCACTCTTCCAAGATCCCAGGAGCGGGTACCGCTGTGCGCGGTTAGCCACTGTCACGTCTGTGAGGACAACCTGCTGTTGTCGCTTCTTCGTCGCTCCTATTCTTAGAGTTGTCCCGAGCCGTTTCCTTTTCTTCGTTGTAATGATCTTTTTGCGCCGTGCGCTACATTTATTGTATCGCATGACAAATTGGGGCACACACTCTCTATGCCGCTGGTTAGCACCGGGTCTTCTTGACGGCCTGAGGGATCCTACATCAAGCTCTCTTCAGGCTCCCACGTTGTTTCACCGCAACCCTTCCACTTGACGCAATACTGTATTGTCCCCTAAGCAATATTAGCCGGGTCCTCTTAAACTTATGTTGTCGATATACATATACATCTGGGGCAATCATGTGGTCCTTGATTGCCTGGACGGTATACCTGGTAATCGTAAGTTGAAGCAAGCTATTGGGGCATGCACTGTTGCTCTACCAGTTTCCATTACCCCCTACCACTTTTTTACCGACCCCATTCGTTTGAAAAGAGGCTACAGATGATTCAGAATTGATTGTGAAGTCGTCGGACTCAAGGGCATTTCGCGCACTACCCGGTTGGGGTCCGTGGGCTCTTAGGTTATACCGGTTCCCTCTTCCGAGGTGCTCTGGGAATGCCATTGTTTTACAAATATTTCCTGCAGGCGCAGAGTATCAGCCATTTTAAGTTTATTGCAGCAGGCAAAGTGCTTGATCTTATTTTGGGTACGGCCGTTGAACTCGAGCGGATTCTATGACTTTGTCATCTGAGTTACGTACCCTACAAGAGTGTGACAGGACAGTGCGGTACTGCCTTTCCCCGTGTGCACATGTGTCAACTAGTTCCATTCATCAGGACAACCGGATTGTGACAAAAATACAGTAACAACTATGATCGTATTATAATGGATGGGAGAGGAATTGACTGTCAGAGCAGGATAGCCATTGTCTCTTTAGCAAATATGCTAGAATCAGTCGGGCAGTAGTGGGTCAGGGAAGCAAAGTGTTGTGAGGTGATGTGTTCAATTCCTTATCCCGTCAGGGTATGGATGCGGACACTGCCCAGATGACTGGAGTTGGGGTCCTATTCAGCGGACAGTTAGTCCCAGCGGAAAGAGTTTTAAGTAGTGGGCCATTAAAGCATGCCTCTGCACCAAGACCGATCATTATTTTGTCGTCACCCAGAAGAGTGTCAGAACTGGAGGGCCGATCGCTCACAACTACGTCGAATCTACACCAGGCGACCCAGGGCATCGTATCTTAGTATGCCTACTAACCGAGGGTCTGCTACTGCAATTGAAGTCATCTCTGCAGGTGGCTCACATACCCCAGCATTCTTGATTCTTACGGGAGCGGTCCATCAGAGCGCCTTCTACCGTATCCCAGAACTTCACGATGATGCTGTGATTGCTGTATCCACTTCGGGGTTTACCAACGATGAGCCAAGTCTTGAATGGCTGAATCACTTTGACAAACACACGGCGCAGAAAACGACGGGGCAATACAGGCTTCTCATAATCGATGGGCACGGCTCAGACCATACTGTGGAATTTATCCAGTACGCCGACGACAACAGTATTATACTCTTTGGCTTGCCTCCACATCTTACACATATCCTCCAACCGCTAGATGTCGTCGTCTTCCAACCATTGAAGCACTAGCATGCGAAAGCGCTGGATATCCTTGTACGAGATGGCTGCCTTCACATCACCAAGTCAGAATTCTTGGCTACAATCGAGTCAGTTCGAGGGCAAGCCCTCAAGGCTCCCACCATTCAATCTGCGTTTAGGAAGACTGGTATCGTGTCTTGGAACCCAAAGCCAATCCTTGATCAGATACAGGCATTACACCCAACCTCACCCCGAGAGGTGACAACCCCGCCACCAAACAACTGGTCATCATCGCCATTCGATGCCCCGTATATACTACGGCACTTGAATAACGCGGCCAGCAAGATTGAGGACATCCAGGAAGCCATGGGAGAGTTACAGCCAGCCCTGAAGACTGAAATGGACCGGTTGATACGAGGGGCTGTAGTCCAGTCGGCCGAGCTCCGTCAGACCATGAAGGGCCTAGCGCGCACCAAGATGGCCGAGGATCTCCGGAAACAACGCAAAGTTGGAAGGAATAGGCTACTGCAGTCAAAAGGGGCCCGGGGTTGGGGGGGGTCACTACGATATCTGACGGCCGTAGAATGGTTCGGCAGTCTGAAAAAACGCTCTTGAAGCTGTGAGGCAGATGGTTGAACGAGCGGTGACAAGGCACCGTAACGCCTTGAAAAGGCAGTTTGAAGCCCCGGCGAAGGTAGCTAGGAAAAAGCGGCTTGACGGCGTACTAGAACCACTGTGTATGTAGTTGACGTAGAGGGTTGTGGGCGGCATCTACGTAGGAGTTGAGTAGACTGAGTATTGAAAAATGGCCCGATTGCTGGGTGGCCCGTTTTGGTGGTCAGCCGCCTCTTTGAGGGTGGAAGGCGAAGACGGGAACCAACAAAGTGGGAGCGTGGCATGAGTAGTGGGGTTGGAGAGTTGCTTCGTCCCAAAGTATAATCTGCCATGGTCAGGCAGCAAGACTAGAAAGGGTGGATAAATCATTCACACCTCCTCATCACATAAGTGTTCCCCGTCCCCAATCATCTGCGGCCAATCTGAGCGTCAAATTCTTCGCTAATAATCTTCCTGCAACTTCGCCTACCATGTCTGAAGCGTCAGCGGCTGCTCTTTACGCTATGTCCGGCGTCCTCATCGGAGTTTCCGTGATAACTGTAACTATGCGATTCTATGCGAGGCGTTGCCAGAAGGCACCTCTGCTGGCCGACGACTGGTTGCTGATACCTTCCTTGGTAAGGTCATATTCAGTATTGGGGCGGCCTTTCATTCTAATCAGGGCACTGCAGATCACTTTCATAGGCACTTGCGCATGCATCTTTTACGGTAAGTCTTGTGCTGTTTGTTGCCTTGCGAATCCGCTATTGTTTGTCTGCTAATTGCGTCTAAGGTGGTCATATTCAAGTATTTGGCTACTCCACTCACGACTTTACACCGGAACAATTAAAGGCAACCAAAGAACGTTCGGCCAAGGTATTCGCACCGCTTACCCCTTACTCGAAATAATATGCTTGGCATCTATAGGTTCCTAACGTGGTGTAGACTCAAATTGCCCTAAACCTCCTGTCGATTGCAAGCCTTGGCTTTGTAAAGCTAAGCGCCCTCTTCTTTTATAAACGTATCTTATGCGTTTCGGGCGGGAAGGCATCCCTTAACATTACAATCATTACTTCGATAGCTGTAGTTATCTGCTGGGTGGTGACCTTTGAGTTTTTAATTGGGTTTCAGTGTCACACCCACTTCTCAGCGCTTTGGGATGGCACACAACGAAAGTACTGCACTTACGCATGGCCCGCACTTCTTGCACAGGCTATTTCTGACTTCTTGCTCGATGTCTGGGTTCTGGTGTTACCAATCTATCCCGTATGGTCATGTCCACCCCCATTACAGGTTTTTCGCCTTCTAAGGTGCAACAGGTAATGAAGCTTCAAGCCACTATATATAGGAAGATTGCTATCTATGGCATTTTACTTCTAGCTTGCGCGTAGGTTATTATTCTGAAGAATATTGCACTTTGCGACATGCTGACCAGGATCAAGCGGCGTTGGTGCCTCGATTGCAAGACTAGTTATATTTGTTCAACTACAGAGTGGTGAGTTTTCTATCCCCTTTGTGAGCAGTTAATATTATCCTAACGTATTATTTCTGTTTAGTTGGCCAAGCAGCGTACGACAGGATCGATCCACAACGTGAGACAAGATGTGCAGTGACTAGCAACGCCACAATATGCTAACAGTTCTCTCTATGTAGGGTCAATTAGCCAGGCATTCTTCTACATGATTCTGGAAGTTGGCGTGGGTCTAATTGCTGTGTGCCTTCCATCTATCTGGCTAGTCTTTACTTCTGCTGCCCCCGAGGCATTTCTCCAAAGCGATCGTAGTGTCGTCTCACTTGCCTCACTTCATTCAAAGCCCTCAGAGAAAACCCAAGAACCCTCTAGTAATAAGGTGCTTCAGTCAAGCAAGACGAATTCATCAATGGCGTGAAGCGCGATATATCTGTCGGATAAGACTGCCTCTGTTGATAGAACAAGCAAACTGTATGTAATTTTCCAGTTGTTATAACGTCGGTCATCATGACTAAACTTAGCAGGAAAACAGATTCGAACAAAAAAAAAGATGTTATGTAATTAAAAAAAAAACTACAGACCCTATGTATTTGTACATAGCACGCAGAATACATAACAAGAAAAATAATTTGGCGAAGAAGGTTGGTTATATTTAATAACAATGATCTCATAACGTGTCGAGTTCAAAAAGAAGACTGGAACAATAGAAACCTCTCTCCAGGTCCAGTTGTAAATATAATACAAACCAATAATGCAAGTGCGGTACATAAAGAATCAGAGAATTCTATTAATACACAAATTACCACTGATCATATCCATCTGAATTGCCTGCGACGCACTTTGCAATCGATTGCCGTGCACGCATGGACAAGTCGGATCTTCAATCCCAACACCTCATTTACCCGTGCGACGAACTCTCTGCAGTCACCACAAGTTGAACTGCTGCCGATGATTAATGCTTCCCTCAGAGAGTTTTTGGATGCGCTTTCCACGAGTTCCGAAGGTGACCCTCTTGATAGTCGTACCAGACTCGTCAGCTGTCCCACCTATATCAATCATGCTGCTTCATCAACTCAACCAGCATAGTGTTGAATTGAATTGAATTGAATTGAATTTGGTATCGCCTATCGGCGCCTTAGAGTAGGCGTGAGGCGTGCTGCCAGCGTAGTGTTGAATTGAATTTGGTATCGCCTATTGGCGCCCTAGAGTAGGCATGAGGCGTGCTAGCTAGTCTTCAACAGTGATTACATAACCCCGCTTGCTAGTAAAACCAGCGTAGTGTTTGTCAGTATACATACACATTACAGGGTAAGGGCATGTGCTTGTGTATAACATAGGCGATCACGTTTCTCAGCGTGGCTAGCGCCGGGTAACCCTGGTAACCCCCGAATCACGCGCAGGCCATACTTTTGGGGCGAATCCATGCCGTCGACTTGAATAATTTCGTTTTGCGCATGCGAACGCACCAGACACGCGACTGCCTTCCCCTCTTTGGGGACGGTAATACTTATCGCAGGGTTGCATGGTAGAAAAAGTACTTGGAGCTCAGGCCACTGGACTCAATTGTCAGGAAGGTTCCTCTTGGCGACAAGTCGCTCAAGCGCCTCTTGGATCGCCGACTTTTTCCAATGCTGCCAGAGGATCCCCATCGCTCGGAGCTCCGCCAGAACCCACTGTCCATGGGCCAGGCTCGACAATTGACGCCCAATTCTGCAGCCGTCGTTCAACCCATGTCGTTTGAAGGTTATCACGTCCAACTTTTAACTACGAGGTGAAATTTTTTCTCTGGTGGCCTCGACATGTCTGTCATTTGTGCGAGTCCGTCTGGGATAGTTGTTTGTTCCATTCTTCTGCCAAGCTAAGCCCCATCTTCGGCAATTGGCCCGGTGCGTTCCTGAAGTTGTCCGCATTATGTGCAATCTGAGCCGCAAAAGCATGATGCCAAATTTCGTCCCTAAAATCCCTGTCCATTGAATGTGGCTTTTCTCACACAGATACTAGATTGCGCAGCAACTTGAACAGCCCCGCCTGCCTCGCTCTCAAGTCCAGCTTGTGCATACGCCAGTAACATCAGCAACATTTTGTTCGGCCGAGCCGAGCCGAGCGCTTCAATCTCATGATTCATCATCTGGACCCCAAAAAGACTCCATGTGAAGCGGCTGCCAGGGGTAATTCCAGCTCAGGTGGATCTCACGCCCGTCGATGCTGAACGCCACCAGCATTGATCGTCATATCGGCAGAGAAGGAACTGTGACAAACCCAGAACCGTCTGGGAACTCTTCCAAGTGTCCTTCTTTCACGGCCTTGCAACTGACCGCGGCAGGCAACGGAGTTGTTCAATTCGTTGTACTTACCAAATTCGTCGCAGCAAAACTCCTTCCCCTTTCGGTTGGTACGGACAACATTCAGCAAGGTTCTGGACGAAACGTCCCCGAATAGCGACTACTTCGGTCCTCATTTTTGAACAAGTTGCGGGAAAAATTGGTATACTGGCTCCGATGCAACGCGACGAAGGCTGAGTATGGCTTGCAAATTCGCACACTCCAATTATTAGCTCTGCGTTCCTGCGCATTGCACCCCCCTGCTCAGCAGCCACCTCTGGCTCACACAGCCCTTGCCCCAGTTGCCCACATTTGCATTTTGAAGCGATCTACGCGATTTTGCCTGATGGGGATGAGACTTATCCCCGTGAAGTTGTCTGGCATTTTGGGGCTACTGAGGTGCTCCATGCTTCAACTACTTACATTTGCGCCAAGTGGTGACAAAGACGAAGGACAGAGCCGAGCTGCAACCCGAAAAAGAAGACCAAAATATCACCCAGTAACGCTTATGGTGTGTCTCTAGAAAGCCCATTTTGTTGGTGCGCATTGCATTGCAGATGCGAGGCCAGCACCGCTGTTAGGCCCCGCTACTCGAGGAATCACCCTGTGGTAAGCGTCGTACTCAACTAATGGAGCTCCGTGTCGCCGCTGAACATCTTATGCCCAGACGAGAACTTCTACCAAACATTAGCAGCCGAAAAAACCTACAGAACTTGCACTCTTAGATCCATGCGGCAGGAATCGGACCGGACATCTCTTGAAGTGGCCCAATGCACACAGGATGTTCTACTTTAAGGTGCCTTCAAGCACAAACACGTGTGGACTCCCCTTGTCAACTTGTCAAACAACCCTGACGCGCCTAACGGTTTCCGTCAGTCAAGGTCTAAGGCCTCGTGGAGCAAAGAACCTGCCATCCACCTGCTCTGCCGCTCCAGACCTTGCAGCTACCTGTCACAGCCGTTCATTTAATGGCTAACTTATCGAGATACTTGCAACTTTGGTCTGGGTTCAAATACCGCAGATGAGACGTAACTCCTTGTACCGGTCATGGCTAGTCTGTTTCCCCGTTTTTGGCCGCTTTTGTTGGAGCTCAATCCCAAAGAACCACAACCTGGCCAGCTGAGAGAATGACTGCAATGTATGAGCACATCACGAGTCTCATTGCAAGCAAGGGAAAAGGCGTCCAGATAGTAAATGCAAGCCAGACCAAATATAAAAGCACGCCAACACACAACAAAATAAATTGAAAAGGGGAAAAGGGGTAGGAAACTTGTTCGAACACCTGCCAGTTTGACATTCTGTCAAGACCAGTTGACACCTGAGATGTGACGGCAACGATGTGTTCCGAATTTCTCCCTTCGCGGGTCCCTGCATCTACCAACGGCTGAGAGATTCAGTGGTTCGGCCAAGACGCGGTGATAGCCACAAGCGCGTTGCATCGAGCAAAAGCTACATGGTTCTATCGCTAGCGCGTCGGCTGCTGATGTTGTACGGTCAAATACCGATGTGTGGCAGGGATGCCAATGGCCCAGCCCAAATTGTGTGGTGAGGTAGTCACAATCGGAAAGAGAGGTCCCTCGCTTATGATATTGTTGTCAAGGCAGAAGCAGCACCTTCACTCAAAGCCACATGTCTGAGCGTCTCCTGATATTTCGTTGTCGCCTGAGCCCCGGGGAGACGACAGCGCTATCATTGTTTCAGACTGCAAAGCAGACATCGTTCAGGCGCTCGGTCATGGATACTCGGGTAAAGCGGGCAAATGGGTATGACGGGTGATGCAGCTCGTTCCGAAATAGGATTAGTGTAGAGTAGCTTCATGGCATGCCTCAACAATTCGGCTTGCAAACCTCCCATAATAAGCAAGGCTGGACGCTAAATCTTTGTGTTGGCCCTGTACTACTGAGCATCTCGTTCCAATCGACCCTGCCCCAATAATGCAACGAGCCAGACGCGACATACTTACCAGTATCGTGCATGATCCAACTAGTAGCGGTTTAGCCTTGTCTAATGTCACCTGGGATGATGGAGCAATGCAGTCTACAAGCCGATTGGCAGTTCTACGCAGCTAAGAGTACACTGCATGTCATTTGTCTTGTTACGGTGCCCTTCTCTTGCACGAGAACGAATCGACGAGCACCTCCAGCCCCAAGCCCATGCGCCGAAGCTTGCACACACAAATCCACATTTGTCCAGCTCGTGACACAGAAAAATTCGCTTATTTCCCTATTCTCGGATGGAGGTGACTTCTAGAGCCAGCAATGACAAGCCAGCCTCGGCGTATGGCTCAGACGGGAGCCTCGCCAACAGCGGTATTTCGAGGCCATGTACAGAGGAGATTTGTCTCTGCTTCCATCGAAGGAGACATCAGGACCACTACCATGCCCGTGTCGATCTCGATCCTTGTCCGATCAGCCAGAGCATGGAGTCTCGTGCAGAAGTTACCCAGGAAGTGACGCCACAAAGATGAACGGGCGGGTTCCGTCAACCCGAAGTACCAAGATTTCGCGGTGGATTGCTTGCGATCACAGAAATATCCTCAAGAAAGGACATCTCGCTGTCAGATGATTTGGTTTTATTAATATATATGCCGTTTGTAAAATACGCGCTTTACCTCGCTGATCGGCGTTGCACCAATCAGGGTTTATCTCCCATGCAGGAACGCCCAGGCTATGGGCCAGTTTAACCAACTTGATAACAATACCCACACAAGAGTACGACACCCGAGAACTTATAGCCGGAGCTAGGCACAAGCGGCGTAGTTGCTGTGTGCCATGAACAGCATGAGGATGCACTCGACATTATAATGCCAAGTGTCTCCCCAGGCAAACCTTGTCACACCTGAAAGGTATCTTTGGCGATCGACAACACAAGAAGCACGCGGCAGAAGCTGGCCTAACGTCCAAATGGTCACCACGCGCAGGGCAAGGAAATGGGCGCCCAAAGTGAAAACAGGATGCATTACTTGCAGGTCAGTTCCTCGACAATTGACGCGATGGTTTTGGCGACCCTCTTCCCAAATCAGGCTATTCGGAGCTACATACTAAATGTATCGCAAGGCGTCGCCGTATACGATGCGATGAAACAAGACCTGTATGCAAGAACTGTGTCAAAGCGGCAAGAGACTGCGAAGGATACACCAACAGCCAAAAGCCAGAACCTATAGTAACAATGCTGGGTAAACAGCCGACGTACCGTACGTGGCCGGTGGACGTTTCGCCGAACGGAAAGGAGCGACAGATATATGACTTTCTTCGTTGCGAAGCGGTTAAACAAGTCGCTGGTTATTTTGACACTTCATTCTGGACTGTCGATGTTCTGCGAGCTACACAGGCGTATCCAGCGATTTGGCACGCTAGCCTTGCCATGGCGGCTATGCAGAATTGGGCGACATTTAACGGTGATACAGAGGCATCGCGACAAACCAGGCTCGACCTCTACCAGCTTTCACTAAGGCAATATAATGCGTCAATCAAGTATCTAAGGATAATAACTCCCAAGTCTTACCCAACTTACTCTGAGCAAGAAACAATTCTACTTGCAAGCGCTCTCTTTGCAAGACTCTGCTGTCTGAACGGCGACATAAGCCAAGCACTGAGTCACGCGCATGCCGGCATCCGGTTATTCTATGAATGGGAATTCTGGAAGCAAGAAGATCTACTGCCTGCATCTCGGCAAAACTGTATATTGGCAGTCGATTCACTTCTTGTATTATTCACTCATCTCGAGAATAGATTTGTATCCCGTTTGGGACGCATGGATAGACCTCGCTGGCGCCTCCTGGCCACCCCCCAGAGATGCTCCAGAAAGCCATTCGGCTCTGCAAACGAAGCGTATTGCAACTTAATGCGTATTGTAAGAGGTCCAGGACAAGAGACACCCTATCTCAAAACACCACTAGGCATCATGGGTCCTCTGCCACCGCTAAGCCTAGGATTCAACTTCCGGCACGAAATTGACATTTGGAAGAGAAATTTCGACACATTCCGAAAGTCAAAGGCTTCTCAGGCAGATAACGCAAACACTATATTAATATTACAGATAATAATGTCAACAATGGAGCCGTACTTATTCCCGAGCAGGACGGGAAAACCGGCTCAGGATGCATGGCAATCGTCATACGAACATATTGTCGACCTGGCAGAGCAACTGCTTAACAGAAACGACAGAAATGAGGCCCAGCTTCCATATCCCAAATATTCGTTTTTCACCAGTCATTGACCAGGTGTTGGCTTTTGTTGGGATTTGCTGCCATAATGGTATAATACGCCGAAGAATTATCACTCTGTTAAGGAAATGGCCTGACAGAGATAGCATATGGAATAACAAGGTAACAGCCTCCCTTGTGGAGATGATAATGACATTGGAAGAAGAGGCGTGGTCGCAGCCGAATATCACCACATCAGACATGTGTCAATGTGTGGCGGGTGCATTTATTTGCCACAACCACAGGGTTTGTGATCACCGCGCCGAGTTTCTATCTAATAGCCGAGTAAGGATTTCTGCTCGAACTACTAACGATATTAGCCTCAATCATGCCGGGCGTGTACTAGAGTTATCTTGTTAATATATATATATATTAAGTTAATTAAAAAAAATGGGCTAGATGATGATGCAAGACATCTAGTAACACTATGTTTTGGCCGTTCCTAGGCCAGGGAACCGTAACTAACCACACTAGAAACCATGAGTACACGCATCGCGATGCGTCAGGCGGTTATGGTATGCCTTGGGGAACGAATTAGGACGAGAGATCTTGCCATGAGGAACGAGGAACTGTTGGATAAGGCTGCCTCTGTTAGTTGAACAAGCAGACTTGACGTAATTGCTGGATGTCATAAAATCATCGATATCAGTAGTTTGAGAGGCTGGGAAGTCTTCTAAACTAAAGATAAATGACATGAACCCTTCTGAAGGATGGAGACCAACGACAATCAATTCTTTTTCAATACAAAAACAAGCTTAGTTAACAATGAGTCTCATAACGTGACAGTATTTATACTCGCATACAAGCTTCAAGCTGTTACAATGAACCCTGGGCGGAACGCTTCCCCGAATTCGGTTTAGTAGCTAGTTTATTCAGCCCGAAGGGCGTTCTAT